GGGCCAACGCAGTTTGGCGGCCGCAGCCACTTGCTCTGCAGTTTGGGCGCCTCATAGCACAGGTTGTGATTTGAGCTTTTTTGGAAGCTAAGGTTAAGGTTACTCGCTGCTAATGGTACCCCGCCAACGACACGCCCAGCACGTGCCGCTGAGGTTGTTGCCGTTTCGCTTCTGCTGCGACAGCAAAATCACGAGATACATATACAATATGCATGCACAGTATGCGTGTCCGTCCCGTTTTAATTGTGCGGTCAGTCAGGCCCCAAAATCCAGTTTGGGGAACAGGCGCACACAACTGAGCAACAAGTAGCACCGTGGCCCCCCCCAACGGCAACAATCGGCAGCAGCGTAAACCGGCAGAGCGAGCGGCTCCCTTGGACACGGACGTGGACGGCACTTGGACGGGCTGATTATCGAACATGTTTACAAGTTCGAGTCGAAGGGTATGCTTGCGTATAAACAAGTACTTGTGTACAAATTCTTGAGACCTCAGCTGCATGTACCCTACTATTTGACCTATTCATTTAATATTTAATATGATCTCATTTCATATATCTTTAGAAACGATGTAGTTTAAATGTGAAGCTGCATAATTTAAAGATTTATATAATAAACAAGAAAAACGATGAAGCTGGTAATTGTTCAGTTTGGTAAAAGTTTAACAAGTATAAATATCTTATCAGAAAATGTTGCCTCGTTTCTTTCTAAAGAGCTGCACGATTTAGAAGTTATATCTTTCTAAGATTTGACTCATAAGTACTAAAATCTTCTTAATAGACAGACATGGGTATATTCGACTCGGCTGTTGATACAGTTCAATAATATGTTTACTTTCTGAGGTCGAAGTTGTTTCCTTATACGCGTTACACATTACATGACAAAATTATAATGCCCTATCCAAGGGAATAGCTAGATCGTTTCATCTACATACATATGTTTAGTCGTTTTTTTTGGTTAATTTTTGTGACATCTTGTTAGATATCCCTTTAATTATTTTCCGAAAGAAAATACGGACAGAACATCATCTGGTTTGCTCAGTGTACGGTATTATGCGCATACTAATACTATGATTTATATATTTTTAAATAAAGAGATAATTGTCTCTATGCTCGAATGTTTATGCTAAGCGCCTGGTAGGCGATTTCACGGTTGCAGTAGGGTGTATTTCATCTAAAAAAGTCTTAAAGTCAAGTCAACCAACAAGTGCTGACCACACGCTGACCACATAGAGAAGAGTGTTGGACCAGCTCCAACAGCACACTCACACAAACTGGTTCTGGCTGTTGGCAGCTTCTTCACAATCACGCATATGCATGCATACATACATACGTATACTAAAATAAATATGTATGTATGTACATGTACTTATGCAAGGCATACATACTCATATATATATATGTATGCATGTACTCGCATGTGTGTGCGTTGGCTGACTTTTATCTTTTTGTTGGGGCACGCAGCTGTGACAACGATCTCCAACTGGGCGTGCTGTTTGCCTGTTAGAATGCATGTGGGAAAACGTTGAACGCCCACAATAATAGATGTTTTTTGTTTTGTTTGTTTGTTATTGCTGGCTGTTGTTGTGTGTTGCGGCGACGGCGTCGGCGGCTGCTAGTTGAACGCTATTTGGTTAGGTAGTTGTAGTTGCCGCGTGCGGCCAGCGGCACTTTAGTCGCCAGCCCACTGCTCAGGTTTGCTGCGAGCCTAGCTAAGTTTTGTGCAATAAGCAAAATGACGGGCACAAAACAAAATGTCCGGGGCAACCGATGTGTCGCTTCCGCTGCCGGGGGCCATGATTATAAGGCGCCATTGCAATCAATTTCAATTCGACTAGTCAGAGGCCAGTCCCCCATAGAGCAGGCACAGGCATAGGCATAGCAACAGCAACAGCCACAACCACAGCCACAACCACAGCCACAGCCACAGCCATCTAACCGTTCTGTCATGCATAGTTGTAGTTGTGTAGTCGCAATCGCAATTGTTGGCGTCATTTCTGTTGGCCTGTGATGTGAACAAACAAAATGACTACTCAAATTTGCGCAAAATGTTCGTGCGACTGCTGCAACGTGTGTGTCTGTGTGCCGAGGGGGGGTGAAGAGCTCTGTTGTTTGCGTTAGAATTTCAAACAAACATGTCGCTGTTGCTTTCCTACCAAGTGTGTACACATGTACACATGAACGTATGTATATATGTATGTATGCATGTATGCATGTGTGAATGTATGTACATATTTGTTATTGCTATTGCCTGCAGAGGTTTTTTTTGTGACGCTTGGCAAGTCGCTGGGGGCATGTCCGGGCGCATTTGGGGGCGTATTCAGCCTGTTTGTTGAATGTAATTGCCGAGCTTGGCCAGGGAAATTTGCAATTTGCCACAGCGCCATCTGTGGTACGTTAGCGAGAGCTGCAAATGATATTGCCGTGTCGCTAGTCAAGCCCCCAATTAATAACAAACATGACTACATGCAAATACATGTATACATACATGCAATATACATATGTATATAAAAACACTGCAAGTAATATCCATAAGGGGCAACAACCTGTTTGAGTTGCCTTGCAACAACAGCAACAGACAGCAAAGCTGCAACTCAACAATTTGCCTAACTGCCAGTAATAATCGCTTAAGACTACTGTTACTTATCACTGCAGTCGGCAAAAGAGCAAACGGCAACACTCACTCAGCAGGCAAACATTCAAACACACATACAAGCACAGTAGAGGCATACATACACATACACTGACGACCAGTCGCATGGCAATTGAACCAAACCCCTGCCACTGTAACAGCTGCCATCTCGTTCGCACACACAACTTGGCCGCACCTTCTCCACCAGTGTTAAAAGTGATGAGATATCGTTTAGCTATTTTTGCTGGTCGCTTGGTAAAAAAGAGGGAATTCACTTTTGGCGGGGTCTCGTTTTTCCTGCTTTGTCCAATCGGCCTTTTTGTGGGCGCTGTCTAAACTAGTCCAATTGAATCGACCGTCACCACGTCGCAACCCTCGGTCGACCAGTCGACGCCAGTTGTTGATAAGGCAGCTGATGATAATAGCGCTGGGCCTGGAGAACTGTTCTTGCAAATTAATTTGACGGTAGGCGTGGTTGTCAGGCCTCCGCCCACACAGCACGTGTTGATTACAAAACTGCCATTGCGCACAAAGCTCCGCATGTAGAACCAATTTTGTACATACATATGTATTTACATATGCACATACATACTTGAGCATAAATGCTGAAGTTTTTTTTAACGATTCATATCTTCATTGAAACTATAAATTAGTAAGTACCTTTGCTCAGCTACAACTTATGGGATATTTTGCTGCAAGCCCCGTGATCATACAAGTTAGAAGCTATAAGACCGGCAACACAGCGACAATTGAGCAAAGCAAAAGGGGAAAGAATTGCCCCACATGTGCAAGCAGGTGTATGTCCGACCCATGTGCACAGACCGTGCCAGACTTTTCAGACACGTTCGGTTTTCGGTTCGGTTTTCAGCAGGCGAACAGCAATGCTTAGCAACAACACATGACAAGCAGCTGTTAACAACTCGAGAATTTAACATTTGCTGAAATCTTATTACGAGCGCGCACTAATTTCTTTCGGGTTAAACTACAATAATTAATTCTTCTATACTACTATAAAAGGAGCAAATATTTTTGATATTTGGAGTGAAACAAAATATGTTTTACCATATTGCGCCTAGAAGATAAAAACATATACAATAAATACGACGTTCGAAACTAAATTTAACAGCTGTTAACCAATGCTGGCACTACAGCCAAAATAGTACAATAACAGAACAGATGTTTGTTAACATTGTCTATCGATTATCAATTCGTTATTTTCAATCTGAATCGTCGGTAGCTTAAGCAATACAGCAATACAATATGTGTGTGTATGTGTGTATGCCTATCGATAAGAACATATCGATACTGTTTTGGTAAAAAATGCACAAAACAACTTCTATCGAGCCGTCAGGTGAAAGTGGGGCTATCAGTTGTAGCGGACGAATATCGCGCTGTTGCGTTATAGCGATTAGTCAATTTAAAGCATATGTAATACGCTGCTGACAGGGTGAAAGTTCACAGACAGTTGAAAATGTCCGGAAAGGTAGCAGGCAAACCGAGCAAAGCGGCTTCAAAAGAGCCGTCGTCTTTGACAAAACTTTACCTGTTTGCATACAATGCCGTGCAAGTGGGCGGCTGGAGCTACATCCTGTATCAGCTGGTCAACTACTATGTGCTGCAGGGTCCCCAGTTTCGTGCACAGATAACGCTGTGGGATTACACGCGTGTTGCCGTCATCATTTTCCAGAATGCCGCATTTGTGGAGATCCTGAATGCGGTATTTGGGTTGGTTAAATCAAATCCTGTGGTCACCACCTTCCAAGTGTTTAGCCGGATGATGGTTGTCGTTGGCGTTGTGATGGCGACACCAACGGGCAAGGTGTCGCCCGGCCTGCCTATTGCGCTCTTCGCCTGGGCCATCACAGAGATCATTCGCTATGGTTTCTATGCCCTCAACATTATCAAGGTGGTGCCAAAGTTTGTGGTCTTCTTGAGATACACCACATTCATTGCGCTCTATCCGATCGGCGTGACTGGCGAACTTCTGTGCTTCTGGTGGGCACAGCGCTATGCCAAGGAGCACAGCGTCTGGAGCTTGGAGATGCCCAATAAATTGAATGCCACTTTCTCCTACTACGCGCTCCTCTGGATTGTCATGCTGGGCTACATTCCCATCTTTCCACAGCTGTACCTGCATATGTTTGCGCTGCGTCGCAAGATCTTGGGCGGCGACACCAAAAAGAAAGCCAACTGAACTTTGACCCGCCGTTGGAAGTTGGAAGCAGCCGCAGTACTTTGTCCATTCGTACAGCCATGCGAATTGCTATTTAGCATTTGCACTTTGCGCTCACCTTAACTTGACGCCTAGTTCAGCTTAAGCTTATTTTAAGTGGTTTCTGTGTACAAAATAAAATTAAACAAGCACCTTTCAATTGCGTCGAACGTGCAATGTATTCAAATTATTTGCTTAGGCAGCAACTGCAACAATAATCATTTGTGGGTAGCTAGTGCTGTGACCATTGTATGGTCTTTATATCAATGCCCTCCTGCACCATTTCCCACAGTGGCGACATTTCGCGCAGTCGCTCCACATGCTTGATGCACTTGTTGGCCGTATAGTCGACCTCCTCAACGGTGGTGAAGCGACCTATGCCGAAGCGAATGGAGCTGTGCGCCAGATCCTCATCTGCGCCAATGGCGCGCAGCACATACGACGGCTCCAGCGATGCTGAGGTGCAGGCAGAGCCGCTGCTGAGCGCAACATCCTTCAGTGCCATCAGCAGCGATTCGCCCTCGACGTAGGCAAAGGACAAGTTGAGGCAACCGCTGTATGTGTGTACCGAATCGCCATTGCGTATCACATGTGGCAGAGCTGTCGTTAATTTGTCCATCAGGCGCTTGGACAGAAAATCGACCCACTTCTTATCGTAGTCCATCTCTTGCAGTGCCAGCTCGGCCGCTGCGCCCAGACCCACAACTAAAGGGGCGGGCACGGTGCCGCTGCGCAAGCCGCGCTCCTGGCCACCTCCACTCTGTATCGGCTCGAGGCGCACACGCGGTCGGCGTCTTACGTACAAGGCGCCTACGCCTTTGGGACCATAAATTTTGTGCCCCGATATGGACATTAGATCAATATTCATTGCATTCACATCTAAGGGTATTTTTCCCACGGCCTGCGCCGCATCCGTATGAAAGAAAATTTTGCGTGAGCGGCACATCTTGCCAATCTCAAAAATTGGCTGCTGCACGCCAATTTCGTTATTGACTGTCATAATGGAAACGAGGGATGTGTCAGGCGTCATTGCCGCCTCCAGCTGCTGCAGGTCAATGATTCCATTGGTCTTAACCGGCAAATATGTAACCCGAAAGCCCTCGTTCTCCAGTGCACGGCACGAGTCCAGCACGCACTTGTGTTCGGTCTGTGTTGTGATCACATGCTTCTTGTTGGTGCCATAGAAACGAGCTACTCCTTTGACTGCAATATTGTTGGATTCTGTGGCGCCGGAAGTGAAGATGATCTCCTTGGGATCGGCACCAATTAGTTTAGCGACCTGGTCGCGTGCTTTCTCCATAGCCAGCTCCGATTCCCAGCCATAGGCATGTGTGCGCGAGTGCGGATTACCAAACTGATTGGTCAAATAAGGTAGCATTGCGTCCAAGACGCGCGGATCCATTGGCGTTGTGGCCTGTGCATCCAGGTATAGGGGTCGCCCATCTGTTTGATCGTTCTTGATGTTGAAACGCACCTGACGCTCACGAAATTCTGGAAAAGCAATCAATAAATCAACTTATAAAAGCATATATTACTTGGGCTGTTACCTTTTGATGTGGTCGCCAGATTTGTTGCTGCTGGCTTAGCAGCTGCTGAGGTTGTTGATGCCTGTCGTCGTATAACAAATGCCAGTGCCGTGCCATTTGGCCGTAACACGTTAGCCTGCAATCTGCCCAGCATTTTCTGCATGTTTGTACTGCACGTGTGTTAGTATTTGCGCTAATATCAATTTATTTACTTCTCGTATTATTTCACAATCTAATCAGAAGAAGCCAATGAGTGTCTTTTACAACACTGGCTTAGCTATCGACATTATGCAGGCGCAAACAGTGTTACCGGACTTAACAAATTTTATTGGCGCGCAAATTCAAAATTTAAAATTAAATGTTATGCACAGAAACATTTATGTGCCAAGAATTAAACTCTTTACAGTTGAATTATTAGAATTATTGGACCAATTTAATACTTTTATGTTATTTAAAAAGTTTATAAGTTCATGTCGTATATACATAAAAGCATAAAATATATATTGCAAAAATAGACATATGTATACATATTTAAATGGTATGTTGTGGTGTATAATTCTCTCTTGGTTACTCTTCTATTCTTTTCTTTTTTTTATGTATATATAGGTGTATATATAATATGTATATGCCTATTGCTTGTAATTAGAATAATTTTTTACATTTGAACACTTAAAAATTGTCTGTTTGTCAGCTAGCAACGATTTTTGTTTACAACTTTAACCTTATATACTAAATAGAGTAACGAGTGTTTTGTTTTGTTTTGCGATAAATCTGTTCAAAAGTGCGACTTTGTTCGTACGAATTGGTTAAAATACACATATACACTAACACAATATTGATAATTTAACAGCAAATAATAGGTTTAATTTAAAAATAATTGAACTGGTTAAATAAATAAACGCCAACAAATCAGATAACCATTGTGTATTGCATAACTGCCTGTCCGTTGTCAAAGCAATTGCTCCGTGACCAGCACAACGCTCTGCTCCAGCGCAATTGCGGCCAGCTCCTTTAGCCATTCGTCCAGCAGTACGGCACACAGGGCCAAATCACGTGATCGCTCTGTGCCGCTGGTGTTGGCTATAATACCCATGGAGGCCACCGAATCCAGGGACACTGGCTCCGAGTTAAAGCTGCCCGTTTGTAAGCCACTCTCCACGCCGTGCAATGTGCTCGACGACTGTGTCGCTGATAATGTTTGCGTGGAGCCACCAATTGAGCTGTTGCTGCTGCTCACCGTTTGTGCCTCTTGACGTGGCGCGGTGCTCAGACTCGTCTCACAGGTGTTGCCTCTCGATTGCTCTTGTGCGGCGCCGCGTCCACTTACCTCTCCGTTATTGCCACCCACCAGCGTGGATGCTGCGCCTGCAAAATTTATCTTTGGTTAGTTGTGTCTCGAATGAAAAAGTTATGTAAAGGATTAAACTGCAACAACAACAACGAGAAATAGTAAAAATTATTAAATAAGTGGGAACGTTAGAGCAACATATGTACAAAGCTACAGGAGTCGACAACATACTGGACAGCTTAAATAGCTTATAACGTATTTATTTTTTGGTTTTTAGTTGGGTTGTATTACGGGTAATATCATAATATATATATATTTATAGAACTTTTACGTAAGCGTGAAATATTTACCGGTGAAGAATGCGTAAATTTGTGATAAGCCAGATGAAGCTAAGATTTTCGTAGTGGAAAATTTTTCATATCGATAATAAAAAAACACAATAAAGAAAAAAAGAGACAAATTGATTATAAGCAACGACGTCTGCAGACATTGCACAAAATCTACGTGTGTTGTGTAGTGTAATAGACTAGATTCCACTGGCCAGCATTTTTGTCATTTGTGTCATTTAATAAAAAGAGGCATTTAGCTCTGGTATCTTTGAAAGAAGCCGTAATTACCTTATGTGGTGCACGTTAGCCGGGCTTTCGTGAAATTGCACTTTTGCATATGTAAATATATTCGTACGTACAAATATGTTTGCGTGCATGCTGCATGTACACATATGTATGCATGTTTGTATATGTGTGTATGCATGTTTGTTTGTATTTATGCAAACATACACATACATACATACCTACATACATGTACACACACATACATACATGCATGCATACATACCCACATGCATACATGCATACATACACATATACCTACATACATACATGCATACATACACACATGCCTACATACATACATGCATACATACACACATACATACATGCATACATACACACATACATACATGCATACACACACACATACGTACATACATACGTGCATACATACACACATACGTACATACATACATGCATACATACACACATACGTACATACATACATGCATACACACACACATACCTACATACATACATATATGTACAAACATACATACATATATATGTACATACAAGTAAATGAACAACAAATTATTAACAAAAAATAAAAACAACAACACAATAATCACAAAAAAATATTACCAAAAAAAACACCAAAAAAAAAAAATCACTTACTAGCTAAGCATGAAAAACAGCAGACCCGACTTGAATTCTTGAGAATCGAGGAGGAGAGCACTTGGTAAAAATTTTTTTTTTTTTTAAATTTGCAGCACAGCGACAAATAAGCTGCATACATACATGCATGCATACACTAACACACACACACGCCCACACACACACATATATATATATATAAAATGCTTGTTTACAATAAAATTATCGGCCGCACAACGCAATCTTTTAAGCAGGAATCTTGCTTTTGCAACAGAAAACAGTCACCGGAGCATGATTCATAAAAATCGAAGGGAGCACGGATAGCTGTTCCGTTTATTGACTTGGCTAACGATACTCAAAATCAAGAATATATGTTTTTGAAAATGACATTCATTTACAAATCCTCCGGCCATTGGAATCAGTGTATTTTAAAAAAATGTTCTAAAATGTGGATGAATTTGTGAGTGTGTGTGAATTTGATGGTTAAGATCCCAAAACCGGCTTTAGTCCAACATCCGCTGCTGCGTTTTGATTTCTTGTGAATTTGTTTGGTTCGTTTAAAAGAGTAAATAAGTGTGCAATTTTTTTTATATCTGGAAGGGTGCCGTGGCATCACATACCCGTATTCGTATTTGTTGCCGCAGTGGATGATGTGGATCTTCGGCTAAACATGCTGGATATTGACTTGCTAATGCTGCGACGCTTGTTATCGCTGCGTCGAAAGGGATCGTAGGCGCTGGTGGGCGAGGCCTGCACAGGTGTTGCCGCCGAAAGCGTCGCATAGGTGGAACGCTGCTGCGCCTGTTGTTGCTGTGTGGGATTTGTTGTGTATTGCAGCTGCTGTTGCTGATGCTGCTGGTGCATTGGTGCGTTGTCGGTAATCTTGCGCGCATTGACCAAACGGAACTCGCGATCAATCAGATACGAGCGCGCCACATCGATGATCTCCAGTGAGTTCTCAGCTACCGGCAGCTCTGCATCAATTTGCTGCTTGAGCATGCGCAGCACCTGATGGAACGATGGCGTGTCCGAGGTGATGGCAATGTCGGAGCGCAGCAACAACGAATGGATGAGCGGCAATGGATACCAGGCGAGTCGCGTGATTAACCCGGTTAAATGCAGATTGACGTACAACGAGTTGCTCGTAAAGGTTTGCAGTTTGCTCCAAATGGCATTCAGAAAAGGACCTAAAAGAATCGATATAAACATGCGAATCTTGGTACATTCCATGAAAGTGTTCGTCTGAGACTCACCTAAGCTTACGGTCCCCTGCGCAAACAAATCCTCCGAAAAATCCAAATCGGTGAGTAACAGCTCGTTGCGAGTGCTGTGCGAGATGCGCCAGGAATCGCGTCGTCCACTGCTGATGCTGCTGCTGTTGTTATGCTCTAGATCCGTGTCACTTGTAGCTGTTGTTGTGGTCACGTCTATGCCTTCAGCATCCTCATCGGCAGGTCGCCACTTGAACGATTCATAGCCGCTGGATTCGCCTATTGATTGCAAGCTATCTAGCTGTTTCTCGCCCAATTCGCTGACCCCTGTTGCTGCCATCGGAGCTGCTGAGGCAAATTCACTGAAAAACTGCTTGGCCAGCTCAAGGGCATGTGCATTAGCACGTGCCTGGCCCTGTCGGGGCCATTTTTGATAGCGATAGCTATTCGCCCACTTGGCACAGTCGCGCTGGCATTGGGCGATGCGTGAATGAGCCTCAAATAGATAGGCCTGAACATTGGCATACAGACTGTCTCCCGTGTAGTGGCCGTAGTAGTTCCAGTTGGCGCCAATCGTCTTGCTCATGACCGGAGAGGGCAGACTGGGCAGCATGACGGCTAATGGGGCCGTTGCCGCTGCAGGGTCCACATGGTCCTGTATGCTCTTGGGCCGCGCCAGGTCACGGGCGCGCTTCATCACGTCTGGTGTGAGATCCAAAAAGAACTCGGTTGTGTTCAGATATGGATCGATCTTGTTGATCTTGTGGCGATGCGATATGGGCACATGCTTCCCAGGCAACAAATACTTCAGCAAGAGCTCCAACATCAGATCCTCGCAGTGTAAGCCCAGCAGCGTATCAAACAGAGCCATTGTCACCATGCACAGGTTGGCATCCGGCGAATGGAGACGCTCTACGAGAGCATCTAAAATCCGTTCACCGTCAAACTTCTCCGTATCCAGCAAAAACTTGACAAAGGCACGCATAAGACCAGGCTCAGTTATGGAGCGCAATATCAGATCCAGATAAGACATGGCCGAAATTTGTGAGTCGATATTCGTCTGAAAATGTTTGCCCTTCAGTGTCTGCAATTTGGAGCGCAAAAAGTTGTTTCGAGATTTCGAGGCGAGGTGTTTTGGTTAGCTTTGGGTGGGCCCAAAAAGAACTAAGGATATCACACATACTATATACTACGTTTATGCCGCAAAGAAATCGCGAAGTGTATTAAAATCTTAAGGCCTATTTCTTTTCGAAAAGATAAATCAAAAGAAAATTATTAGATCAAGACTGTATAATCGATTAACCAATATAATTATAATTGGCTAAAAAATAAATGATGGGACAAACATCAAGAAAATAGTCCACAACAGCTCTAATAGTCTTATTATGACGTTTAAAAAGTATTTCTTTATACGGGTTTTAACGAATAATATGCGTCAAGTTTATAATATATAATGCTGACATATTGCATTAACGACTTGCGTATAAACGTAGCAATAGAATTTATAAGTAAAAGCAAACACACAGACACAAGAGCACCAGGGACAAGTGACAATTTTGTAACCAACACCACAGAAATGCATCGAAGACAAGTTTTTACGTGAGAGCACAACTCAAAGCGAGACTCACCTGCAGTATGGCCGGCCCCAGCACCGGCACAATAAATCCTTGGTACATAAAGTCCAGCAGCTGCTGTTTAATCATCTCGTGCGCCACTTGTACGACCGCATTGCAAAACTCGAGCGCATTCATGAAGAGTGTTAGTTCCGGTATTTCGGTGACATCGTCGGGCGTGATGCGATGCCAGTCAATGGAACTGATCTCGATGCTATTCGGCAGGCGGGAGTAGAGCCCACCCAGGCCGGTGACCAGCAGTGGACAAATGGACGAGTATTGTGCTATATAGTGGCCGATATTGGAATTCTTCTGCGATAGCGCCATACACAGCAGCAGCGCATCGCGCGCCTGATGACCCAAGCTGCCTTCCCGATGTACGTACGGTATAAGCAGCGAGAAGATGATGAAACTAAGCAAATCAAATAAAATAAATGTTAATAATTGTGTAATGCAATGATGCGACATTTACTAAAGCTCACTTGGTTGTGGTGCCACTTTTGGGCGCAGCTAAGCTTCCGTTTTGTATTTGCTCCTGCACCTGAGTTTGTGCCGAGAAGAAGAATAGATCGAGCAGATGGACATTCTGCATGAGCACTACGCACAGCTGATTGAGCAGGATCACCAATCGTTTCTCCAGATCGGGCGGAAAGATCTCACCTTGGCTAGAGGCGAGAATCTTGAGTAGCGGCCGCAGAAATGGCTCGTGACACAGCAGCTGATGCCGCGAGTGACTCACGAGCAGCTCATATAGCTTCAGCTGCTCCAGACGCACGGCGTTCGCATAGCGACCGGTTGTGCTGGCCCACTCGTACAGCTTGTCCAGCAGATTCTCGCTGAGCAGATACTCCAAGCAGGGCGCCGCCGGTGGCGCAGAGTCAGCAGTGGGCAGCGACACCTTATTGCAATGGTGCAGCTCGACTAACAGTAGCGTTACCATGTAATCCAAATGCGAGACCACGCCCAGCACATCATCATGCGTGGGCGGACCCGGATGCTGAATTATTTCATGCGCCTGCTGCCAGTGCTTGCAGAAGCTATCATAGCAAGCGCGCGGATCACAGTCTGTAGCTGCGTCTATGGGCCGTTGACGCAGGGTTGTTGTAGCGCTAGAGTTGCCGCTGCCAGAGCTGCCACTATTGCGGGTAAGACTCTGACGCAATGGACTTGTACGTAACCAACTCATTTTGTGTTCGTTCTGTTCGGCTGTGAGCTTTGGCGGCGAAGTTGCGTTAGGTGTATTTGTTTGGCATGTATTTTTTTAATCTTGCAGTTTGTGCTTTGTCCGAGCTTTGTGTGAGTATTTCCGTTCCCATACATAAATAAAATGGATTTTATAGCTGAAACATACAAAAGCGTCAAACAGATAAGCTTTGACCATTGCATCTATGTACAACAGCAGCAGCAACAATAACAACAATAACAATGAGAACCGACACTCTCACTCTTGCATGTACAAACATTCATATTTGGGCAGGCGAGCGAGCAAGTGGCGTTTGATAGTCACTGAAGCGCTGCAAATTGTTGTTGGCCAATTGCTCACTTATTTTGCTGCTCACCTGCTGTATTTTCATAGTCGCTTTCGTCATCGTTTTGCAGATTTAATTGCTAAATGGTTCTTGAACCAGATATTGCCTTTTATTTCGCGCGCAACACCACTTGCAGGCAGCAGTAGCAGCTCTTTTTGACTTTTTTTTTGGCACTGGGAAATTAAAGCGAAATGACGATGTCGACGACAGCTCGGGACCGTCCTTGTGCGCGCACTTTACATGTAGAAAATACACAAATGTGATTTTATTTGCGTTAACCAACATGCACGGAGCCTTGCTTACACTTTAATGCCTCATTATGGACTATGGACATTTTTTTAAATAAATATTTACAACAAATAGAAAGTAATGAGTGGATTGGTGGTAGTCGAGCGATAATTTGTGGTGGTCGACCGATGACGATAAGTAAGTATCTTTTCCAACACTTAAAAACCTGCATTCGATTGTTTTTTCATAGCCACCCACAAACTTTCGCGATAAGCGTTCTACGCCCAAATTATCGATAAGAGATATTTTGAATAATTCAAACTAAAGTTTATTTGCTTGTGCTGCATAATTTTATTATTTGATATTAATAGAAATTCACATTTAATTAGCATACAAATTACAAAGTTATATTACAAAAAGAACAACAGCACAGAGTGGATATGCAGTATCTATATATAAAGAGTCATAAAATGTTCTCCCTGGAACATCGTTCAATTGCAGATTGTTTTCGTACGTTATTCTGACAATGCAAGACTTCTAAATTTCATAAAACCATTAACCAGGTTAGAGTTGCACATTTTAAAAATTCTTTGTATGATTTTGCTAACAAATAACATAGTTAAATAAATTGTCTCTAAGCATTTGTAAGTATAGGATGCAAAAACGTAATGGGTCTAAGAGAGTGTATCCAAATGTCAACTCACATCGGCAACAGCGACTGACTCGCACTGCTATTTCGTGAGCTGGGCCTCTCAATGGTCATGGACTGCTGTGGCACTTGGCTATCGGTGCTAATGCCCAAGCCAGCATAGATCTCCTTCATCACAAATAGAATGGTATCCTCTGAACCCCTGTTATATGAAGTAGACAATTAGAAATAAGCTTGAACAAAAAGAAACGCACCACTCACCAATAGCAAACGTGGCTGCTCAGTGCGAAGATATACTCGTTGATGAACTCCAGCGGCGCCTCCTGCAGCACATAGTCCACGCGTTTCGAGTCGTTTAATTTACCTAATGGAAAGTCGAGCTCAACGAATTCAGGATCTGATGCTGTCGTGGACTCGGAGTCGGTGCGATTACGCCCTTTCGTCGAAGTGGTTGTCGTTGACAATTCATCCTGGCCTTCACTTGGCTCCTGGAATACCTGCGAAGAGGTCTATAAAATTGGTTAGCCAATTTCAGTTTTGTCACCAAAACTGCTTTGCTTTAATCTTACTGAGTGTATTTCCTTCTCCAGGGACTCCTCGGCCTCCTTCTTGACCTTGGTGACTGTGGCCAAGAAGTTGACGCTGTCCAATGTGGTTTTGAAAGTGTCCATGAATCTTTGCTTTATGTCCGCACCAACTCGCGTCATAGTCTCTTTTAGTTCCAGATGCATGCGCTTGCGTCCCTTATGATGTGGAATCAGTACCGGGCGGATGCCCTTCATGTCTGGATTGACCAGCGCTTCAATGCGATACGCCACTGGATCAAAGGGATGGAATATATTGTAAAACCCTGGACAGGTGGGTAGCCGAAAGTCGAGGCCAAGTTTATCGATGCCGCGTATGGTCACAAACATGCCGATTGGAGAGCCCAAAGCGAAAAATTTCTTCGGATGGAAAATCAACTGCGTGTAGTTAATCACTGGCTGTCCAGTTCCCACCATTCCCATGCCCATGGCATAGCTGACCTGCTTGGGCAGCATTTGATCATTGTTGGGAATTTGTACGTGCTTCAATTCGGTGCCCTGCTTTTGTGGTAGTTGATCCGGATTCTCCTGCCAAAAATTAAGCTTAAATATTAATTTATTTGTGGGTAGCTAAGAATAGGCCAGGCAAGAGCTGCTGTTTTCCCAATGATTAGAATTCTTTTCGTTTGGTCGGAGTCTTTGGATTTTTTTTGGGTACGCCTTACCTTATTTTCTTCTTCGCTCTCCTTCAACGGCTCCTGGTGACACAGCAGATCAAAGAGTATAAGCGAGCCGAGACTATGGCCAGCCAGCGAAACACCGCCATTGAATTCAGGATGCCGCATGCGATACTTCAGATAAACCTCATTTAATGCATCAGCCACCGTGTTCATGATCTTCTGACAGTACTTGGGACTGGTATAGAAGAGCACATCCAGCAATGTGTCGTTGGTGAAGTTGCGCAATCGTGGTATGGATTCCAGAGTGATGGATTTAAGTTTCTCATCGATGCCTAGCTCCTCGGAGTGCAAATGGCCATGCCATTCAATGGGAAGCACTTCAACGCGACCCACTAGGCCCATGTCCGTGGAGTTTTTGTAGTGGGACTGCACCAGCTGTTGCGCAATGTTGCGAAAATCATCCACTGCAAAGCATTTTGTAAATGAAGATAGTTTTCAATATGTTTGGGCTGTTGTTAGATGCACACTTACCGACTTCCTCGACATTGCGCATTTTTAGATCACAAGCGGAGCCGATGCCATGCACCATGAACAGCAAATGATCCACACGCTGAGATTCACCCTGTTGTATTTTAAAATCATTTAAATCCCGCTTGACAACCAGCGGCCGTGTTGAGCTTTGCACGCTGCCGCCCCACGTGTCGGCGTTCGACGGTGGCATGAAGTGCACTATGACGCTCGGGCCATGCATGGTGACCTGCTCCCCATTGGCCAGGGGTATCTTTTTATGCCATTCGTTTGTTTCCGTAGCACGTTTATATTCTGCCTCCAGTGCGGCTGCTGTTTGCTCCGCATATGGAACGTACTTTCCATCTCCGGCCTTGTAGAACCAGGAACAGCGTCGCACCTCAATGGCTTTGCCCTCCCAGAAAACGGGCGTCTTGGTGCGCTCTTTAATGTTAACATCATAGCGACCACCCTCTACGGGTACGATGCTCAACGAATCGGCGTCATCTGCGGGTGACAGGAATGCATATATAGTATTATATTACCAGATTTTGCCATAAGTTGGTTTCAGACTTTAGTCAAGCATTAATCAAGCCTACATTTTTTATATGTATATTAAAAGTTTGTCATTAAATGTGTAATGCAAGGAGACATCGCCGATCTGTCATCTGTGGCAGATGGATCCACAAACAATTTTCTTACAAACGTTTTACGCGATTTTCTCAGACATGCGGAGGAATTTCCCGAAACCCCGCCTTAAGGCAGTTTTCCACCAGTCAGTTAGTCAGGACAAACAGTTTTATATATAGAGATAACCATAAGTCAAAATTTACCACCCCCATAACTCGGTCAAATCTCATCCGACTTTCACGAAGTTTGGTTTTAAATTCATGGTTTTACTTCTAGAATAATCGGGCATTAAAATCTGAACACCGATTTTTTAGTCGAAATTCATGTCCAAATCTTACCCCAAGATTCGTATATAGACATGAGTCTAAATTTACCACCCCCATAACTCGGTCAAATCTCATCCGATTTTCACGAAGTTTGGCTTTAAATTCATGGTTTTACTTCTAGAATAATCGGGCATTAAAATCTGAACACCGATTTTTTAGTCGAAATTCATGTCCAAATCTTACCCCAAGATTCGTATATAGACATGAGTCTAAATTTACCACCCCCATAACTCGGTCAAATCTCATCCGATTTTCACGAAGTTTGGCTTTTTCTTCATGGTTTTACTTCTAGAATAATCGGGCATTAAAATCTGAACACCGATTTTTTAGTCGAAATTCATGTCCAAATCTTACCCCAAGAGTCGTACTTATATAGACATGGGTCAAAATTTACCACCCTCATAACTCGGTCAAATCTCATCCGATTTTCACGAAGTTTGGCATTTTCTTCATGGTTTTACTTCTAGAATAATCGGGCATTAAATCTGAACACCGATTTTTTAGTCGAAATTCATATCCAAATCTTACCCCAAGAGTCGTACTTATGTAGACAAGGGTCATAATTTACCACCCTCATAACTCGGTCAAATCTCATCCGATTTTCACGAAGTTTGGCTTTTTCTTCATGGTTTTACTTCTAGAATAATCGGGCATTAAAATCTGAACACCGATTTTTTAGTCGAAATTCATGTCCAAATCTTACCCCAAGAGTCGTACTTATATAGACATGGGTCAAAATTTGCCACCCTCACAACTCGGTCAAATCTCATCCGATTTTCACGAAGTTTGGCTTTTTCTTCATGGTTTTACTTCTAGAATAATCGGGCATTAAAATCTGAACACCGATTTTTTAGTCGAAATTCATGTCCAAATCTTACCCCAAGAGTCGTACTTATATAGACATGGGTCAAAATTTACCACCCTCATAACTCGGTCAAATCTCACCCGATTTTCACGAAGTTTGGTTTTTTCTTCATGGTTTTACTTCTAGAATAATCGGGCATTAAAATCTGAACACCGATTTTTTAGTCGAAATTCATGTCCAAATCTTACCCCAAGATTCGTATATAGACATGAGTCTAAATTTACCACCCCCATAACTCGGTCAAATCGCATCCGATTTTCACGAAGTTTGGCTTTTTCTTCATGGTTTTACTTCTAGAATAATCGGGCATTAAAATCTGAACAACGATTTTTTAGTCGAAATTCATGTCCAAATCTTACCCCAAGATTCGTATATAGACATGAGTCAAATTTTACCACCCTCATAACTCGGTCAAATCCCATCCGATTTTCACAAGGTTTGGCTTTTTCTTCATGGTTTTACTTCTAGAATAATCGGGCATTAAAATCTGAACACCGATTTTTTAGTCGAAATTCATGTCCAAATCTTACCCCAAGAGTCGTACTTATATAGACATGGGTCAAAATTTGCCACCCTCATAACTCGGTCAAATCTCATCCGATTTTCACGAAGTTTGGCTTTTTCTTCATGGTTTTACTTCTAGAATAATCGGGCATTAAAATCTGAACACCGATTTTTTAGTCGAAATTCATGTCCAAATCTTACCCCAAGAGTCGTACTTATATAGACATGGGTCAAAATTTGCCACCCTCATAACTCGGTCAAATCTCATTCGATTTTCACGAAGTTTGGTTTTTTCTTCATGGTTTTACTTCTAGAATAATCGGGCATTAAAATCTGAACACCGATCTTTTAGTCGAAATTCATGTCCAAATCTTACCCCAAGATTCGTATATAGACATGAGTCAAATTTTACCACCCTCATAACTCGGTCAAATCCCATCCGATTTTCACAAGGTTTG